TGTTCTTTTATTTTTATGAGCGAGCTTCTGGATAGCCTGGATCCAAGGGAGCTGTACGCTGGCCGAATCAGAAAATATGGCGACAGGTTTGTTGGTGGGTGAGGTGGCGGCTACTAGTATGGCGGCAGCTTCAACAGAGAAAACGCTGCAAGGGTTCAGAAGTCAGTAGAAGGTGCGTAACTCCGGATCGGATATCCCAGTACCTACCCTTCCGCCAGTTCGGGATCCGTCTTTGTATCGTGCTAGGTGATTTGGCTACTTGGTTCGTTGTAGTTCGGCCACCGATCTCACTAGTGCGGGGGAGTTGGTTCCCACCCGGAATCTGTTCTTTATCGCCAAGTCAATAGAAAGTCCGGATGAGTTCCAACCCCTGGCTCCACACCAGTGGACCCTGACTACCGGGGGGAACTCCAGGTCGGGGGGGGGGGGGGGAGTTTGTTCGCCTCCATAAGGAGGGACACTCCATCACTTGTTCCAGTTGTCTTCTCCACACTAGCTGTCAGCCTGGTGGTGAAGGGAAGGAGACCTGATGCGATACTACCTTGATAGTATACCGGGGACAGTTGAGAAATCATCCGGTCGGCAGCTAGGCAAGTCAGTTCTATACGGTATGTTAATCTTGAATCGACTACCGCTTTAGCCACGCGCATCCGGACAGCACGGTTGTTCACTAGATGCCTCCTGGCTAATGTTCGCAGCAAGCCGATTCTCGTTTGGCAATTACCTTTCACTTCGTTGAAATGATCTCCAAAGTTTAGATGCCGATCCAGGCGTATGCCGAGGACGTGGATAGACTTCTGAAACGGAATGATTTATTTGGGTAAGCTGTGAAACGCTCCGTTTAACCCCCTTAAAAACAGCGTAACTGCGATCACCGAACCTTGCGGGACGCCAGTCTCCTCTGGGAATCCTCTTGATCTATGGTTTCCGATGTATACCTGGAAAGTACGATGTCGGAGGAAATTCTTCAAAAAATGAAGAACGTGGCCCGACAGACCACAGTCGGTGAGTTGAGCAAGAATGTTGGGTGTCCATGTCCTGTTATAAGCCTTAGAGATGTCTAGTGTAACGAGTTCAGCATGCTGGTCAGAATCCATCGCGTTTCGAAGTACCTGGTTCAGAGTGGCGAAGTAGGTCCTAGGCCGTGTCCAGGATGGAAAGCGTGCTGGCGGTGGTCAATGTAGCCGTTACTCTCCAAGTAGAGCACGAGTTTACGGCTGACCATTCTCTCCAGCACCTTACTGACGCAGCATGTCAAAGATATCGGTCGGATGTCCTTTGGCTCGCGACCCGGATTGTCCTGCTTCAGGATCGGGACAACTATGATGTGTTTCCAGTCTTCTGGAATAGAATGTTCCAGCCATTATCTATTGAGAAGTCTGAGTAGTGTGGTCTTGCATTCCGCTGATAGGTTTACTCGTCAATGACCGAGAGGCAAAATGTTCCCCCAAAGCGTAGGCGATCTTATTAGGGTCTCTAATAGTGGTACCATCTACCCGGATGGTCATTCCGCGGGATTTACGTTTGCCACTTAATGCGTTGAACTTACCCCACAGGTCAGTGGCAATCTGGCGACCATCAATTGCTCCCAGCTTGAACTCTTGGCAGCAGTGATGAGAATTGTCATTGTCATTGACAAACTTTCGCGCGATATTGACCAAATTGTTCGTCACATAGTCACTGACAGACTTGATCCTCGAAAAAACCTTCGTCAAAATCTCATTCATTTTTTCGTCAATGACAAAGAATCACCTGGTAACAAAAACTGTAATTTCGTATATTCTGTGTCACATTATTGTTATCCAAGCAGTTCAGGACGTAGATGCTTGTTCACATTAACGACTCCATGTAATTGTGTTGCTCAAGTCATTTAATTTCGTTACAAATTTAACTAATAAAAAAATATGTACATGTTCGTCACTGACAGAATTGTCACTGACAATTGACATGGTTTGCCTTGACTGTGACTCTTAGTCCAAATGAGTGACCAAAGCGGAATTGTCAATATCACCGTGCATTGTCGAGATTTTGCAGCACTGCTTGGCAGACTGGATAGTTTGTCAACACTTGTTGCGTTTTGCTCTGTAGGTGGCCATGGCTGCTTCTTTCAACGGATGGTCCGTAGGTAGCCGCGTGGCAGCTCGAAGAGCCTTTTTTCTGGCTTTAGCAGCTGCTTCGGTCACTGGGGACCACCATGGTAGAGACTTAGATTCCGGGTTGGGACTGGTTCGTGGAATTGAAGGAAGTGCCGCTCGATGAATGGAGCTAATGAAGTCTTGGATACTGTCCGGTGTTGAATTGAACCATGCGGCGTCGACGGACTTCTGAATGAGGGACTAGTCAGCCTGGTCGTATTTCCATCGTGGTTTTCGTAATGTGTCCTGCGGTCGGTCATCAAGTTGGATTACCATTGGGTAATGGTCACTGCCCGTGGGATCATCCCCGACATTCCAGAAGAGCCTGCTGACAACGCCAACGCTTGCAAGAGATACGTTTACAGAAGATTCCTTCTGTCCGCTGGTGAAAGTGATGGACCCGTCGTTAAGAACAACGAGATCCGAAGTTTCTGCAACTTCCATAAGTGTACAGCCTCTGGAGTTAGTTTTCAGGCTTCCTTATGCTGGATGATGGCCGTTCATATCCCCAAGTACCACAATGGGTCGTTCGAGGTCTTGAAGCAGATCGCTGAGGTGTTGTTTAAGGTTGTGTATCTTCCCGCATGGAAGGTAAGCGGAAACAACTGAAATCGGGAATTGATGTTGAAGTCTGACCGCCACGATTGGAAGGTGTGTGTCTAGATGTATGGTCGAAAACGATGTTGGTGCCAGGACCCCGATTGCCGCTGAGTGGAACATGTTTCTCTTTAAGCTCCACTGGTATTGACCACCCAGAGTACGATTCGTGCCATTGTCGTTGGTCCTGTGGACCTCTTGTATGGCCAGGATGGAGGGCATCTGGTCACGAACTAGGATTTCCAAGTTTGGAAGGTTGTTATAAAAGCCGTTCATATTCCACTGTATAGCAAGCGGTGGTTTAGTGGATAGTTTGTTCGTTGGGTTTCTAGGGATCCGTGTAGCAGGGGTAGAATAATGGACTGGATCCTTAGGGTTCCCATTAGGTGTCCTCTTACCGAGGAAAGGTTTCGTGAGGGAATAAGCAGGCTTGCGTCGGACTGACCTGGTTGCGTTCTATAACGGTTTCCATTTGTGAGGGTTCCTGTTAGTAAGTGGGATCATGACTTGCTCGCTCATTTGACGAAAGCGTAGTCGAGAGGTCCGCTTCCGGAGAAGGAATTCCGAGCCGTTGGTGCTACATTTTTGCCGTAAGCCTCCGCACAAACTAGAACACTAATGGATAGTACCTTTTCCGATATGATTCTGGATGATCTCCTGAGTACTTGATGAGATTTGATTCCATCGTCCTTCGTTGATTTGTGCGCCCCACTACGAATAACAGCGGAACCCGTTAGGGCTTCACCGGAAGGAGGCATCGAGGAGGGGTTGAATGTCGACATAGATTTCCCGGTCGCGTCGGTAACTTTGTTAGCTAGAAAATTATTCCCTCTCACGTCATGATGGTTTTTCGACAGGCTCGTCCCTCTTGACTCCCACGTAGTCCAGAGGGGGATGGGCTTTTGCTCCCGTAAGCGACCCTCGGTCGAGCACTGGTACTGGTGAAATTCTATCGAAGTGAGGTTTCACTGAGGGACCCACCAGTGGTAGAGTCGTCAGCTTGATCGTCTTTTCTTGAATCTCGCTATGTATAGTGTTGGCTAGAGTTGTCTTGACTCCCACGTCGTCCTCAGAAGAATAGGAGTTGTCTCCCTTTTCCGTCCCTCTTCCGGTAGCCACAGGGTGACGGGGGTTGTCAGCCTCAGTAGAGGATGATGTTGATGTAGGGTGCAACTTGGTGGACAAGTTGTGGGAATTCGGTTCTAATGCGCCAGAGGTTTAATTTTCTATTGGAGTTAGGCTACCCTCCACGGACATCACCTCGTCTTCTCCGAAGAAATGAGCTCGTCGACGGCAATGTTGTCTACGGAGGGAGAACCCTGGGATTCGACTGCGGTGTCAGATATGTATGCCGGTGTAGGGTAGTTTTTTGGCCGTTTAGGGTCTCCTTCACCGCTTGTCTGCTCAAATACCTTCTTCTTCGCTCCAGTGGGTTTTTCTCGTTGCTGAGATTGGGGTTTTTGTAATTGCTGCTTCTTTTTTGACTTCTCTAGGTCCAGATGGTTTCGAGACACCCCCCCGGAGCCTTGCGCGCGTATTACGGATATAGAAGACTGAATTCAATATTGAAATTGAACTTTTAAGCTTTTTGGAAGATGCCTTGAGTTGTTTTCTGGCTGAATGTCCGGGGTTTCCTGACATTGCTGAAAATTATTATAGCATCATATTGCGGCATTACTAGTGTAATAGGATGCTTTATTTATTATTCATGAACTATTGATTGCTGGAAATGCTTGTGATTAACACATTTTGTTGCAATCGTGCCAAAACTGCTCGACAAAGTGATTAATTGAAAGGAAGTGAGTAAAGCTAAACGAGTAAATCCACAGCTAAAGCGTGCTTCATTTTCATTTTCGTTTGGGTTAGTTAAGCTAAAAAAAACGATGGTGCTACATTACCCTGAATGTCACTTCACCGGACGGAATGTAAAAAAAGGGGAACAGTCAAAAAAAGGAAGAATTTTATTTGAGGAAGTGGTCGTTCGAGGCAATAACATTCGGAGTAATGTAGCACAACATTCGGAGTAATGTAGAACAACTTGAGTTCATTTTAGAGCATGTGGCATGTAGTGCCCCGTTCGAAAACCACGATTTCATTTCTCTCTCGGAGCAAGATGCGACCATTTTACCTAAGAAAATCCTAAAGACCTCTACCAATATTTACTGGGGAGCGTGGCATTTACGTTTGCTTCACAACCGTTTTCATGCAATCGATTTGGTTGTCTGCTTGTTGTGAGTGGTAAAATACTCGTCTTCATAGATTACTTACGTTACATGCAAATCTTTATAGATGTCTTCATCAGAATTGCTCTTATCCGACTGCGAAATTTGATAGTTGAAGCCCCTAGGATTAGAGAAATAAAAAATGTTGAGTTTATCTTGTACTTACCAAAAAGTGTTGCTGTTTTTTTTTTATTGATTAAATGGGGTAAAGCCGTTTGGCATAACATAACTTGTCAAAATGGTCGTTTCACGTAATGGATGTTTGGTACACGCAGAAAAAATATTTTAAACGTAATAATATTTTACGTAAACTCAATAAGAATTTCATTTTGTTTTGGCTGCAAAGAGAAATCATTATTGTTTCAACAATCCAGTATTTTTGTTCCTTAAAATCCATGGATTGTTAAATCAAAAAGAAAATCTTTTCGAATTTACAAGAGCTTTCATGGTTTTGACGTAAGCTGTCAAATTTACACTTACGCAGAGTGAAGCTTGTAAACTGATGTCGATCAATGGGCATTATTTTATGTTTTTTGTTTACACCTCGGATGACTTCACCTGGGTTGTGAAAGTTTCCTCTAGTTTCTATAACAATACTTCCCACGCAACGGAGTCAGTTTGTCTACTATAGAATTTGTTGCCGTTTATCGTCACTCAGAGGAGAAACACGCTCCTTAGTTTTACTCCGTAAAACATACCCCACCGACACACAGTTGGTAGCTATCAAGCGGTGCTATAGAATGGTATCAAAAATCAATTTGTTTACATTTTGATTATAGGTTCTTTTCAAATGTTACGCAAGATAAGCCTTGTTCTTTATTTTTCCGATGTAGATTAGAGCAAATCAGAGTAACTCTGAGTATCTCTAAGTTAAAGAGACACTCGCATTGAAGTCGTCCTACCCCTTGCTTGGAACCGAAGGGCTGGCACTTCCTGAGAGGGTAGTGTTAGTCTATGGATATATTGCCTGAATATTCTAGCATTGTACGTGAGCGCATAGAATGTTATTTTCAGGAATGAGCTTTGGCTAATTGTTGCAGCAGATTTTTTCTTCTTTCAAACATGAGCAGTTCTTACAAGCCCTAAAATACCACAAAAGTACAGTTTTGATTTTGTGAAGAACAAGCAGCAATTAAAAGAAGGAATAATCATAAATTGCAAATTAACTCTTAGTTTAAAAAATATGTCGAATCATAGCGATTATGCCTAATGTCCGTTAGACCATGTGTTTATTATGCCAAACGTACCAGACCCAGTACATAATTAATTGTGGAAAATAGAAGTTTCATACTTACACAATATTCTGGACCAACTGGGCTTTACGCGTTTGAGAAAGTTTTGATAATGTTATTAGCACTCGGTGAAAATTGGTGAGATCATAAAGCATGGTGGGCTCAAACAAATCCGATTCTTTAAGGCCGAAGTTAGTTTTACATATGTCTAAGAACAGCTTGATGTTTTGAATGCATAAAAACTGAAAATAAAAGACAAAGTTTGGATTAAATTATTCAAGGATAGTGTACACACTATCTTTTATCTTTAAAAGGAACGTTAAATGTTCCAATAGATTAGTGTAAGTGAGTGAATTACAATTGTTATAACAAAATTTAATGATTTAGTTTAAACTCTTTTCCGCCCATGGTTACTCTGGAGCACCATACCTTTTTTGACATTTTGTGCCATAACTTTCTGAAAATGCAACCTGTTTTTGTAGAACTATTGCAACATAGTCTGTACTTGTTCTTCTATCATCGGGTCATGCCAATATCTCAGGACACTCCAGAGTTACTGGTTTTCAAAAATTTTTATGTCAAAACGCTCTGGACGGGAAAGGGTTAATCTATGGAACTTTATTGGCTTGAATGTGACCAATGGAGAATAATTGCCTATATGTATAAACGAACGAAATATAAACAAACGGTTGGCTATTCCTAATCATATTCAAAGATTGATGCACACACAAAAAAACTATGTAATGTATCGTGAACTGATAAAATATGGAAACTTTAATTTTCAATTGAAAGTAGTAAACAAACTAAATGAAGAAACGCTACACTCAATTTAGTTATTAAAAACTAAATAATAGATAATGATTGCGTCTACTTACATGCGCCATTTGAGGTTTTCGATTAAAATCTCTAATTTCAAATGCACTGGAGTCCAGAAAATTTACTAGATTGCACAGTAAAACACCGTCCCGCAGGATTGCAGCCAAAGTTTTTATTTCGGAATCTGGCTGGTTCGCTTTGTGATCCGCTGGAATAATTTTGCATCTGGTTAGCCAAGCAGCGCATTCCCGCCAGAGATCATCTGCCATTGCCATTCTTCTGTTTTATTTGGATAATAAACAGTCGCAGGAAATCAATTTCTAATGAATATAGCACAAATAAACGCACAAACATTAATTTTCTACAACTGACTGGATTGGATATTTCCAATTCGATGAAGAGTGATCTTCATCGTTACTTGATACTACGAGAAGGAAATAATATTGAATGCTGCTCACACTTATGTAAAACCAAGCAAGAAAATCGTTAACGTGAACGTCAAAATGTTTGCCTCTTGCTCGCTCTAAAGACGTATTTACGCAAAATTTGCTAAAATGAAAAATCTTTGCCAAGCTGTCAAAATTCCCTTTTGCAATTTACACGTTGGTTCGAAAATACACATATTACTAAAATTGAAACCTATATATATATAAATATAAATTACCCATTAATGATTAACGTTTACCAACTAATGGGTAACAATTACACATATATGGGTTTTAGTTACCCATTAATGGGTATTTTGTTTAACCATTAAATGGGTTAACCTATTTTACTTCAAGTGAAATTGTACATATTAATGGGTACAATTTCACCCATTTTGAAATAATTTACCTACTTTAATTCAAAATGGGTGAAATTGTACTCATTAATATGTACAATTTCACTTGAAGTAAAGTACACGCTAAGATCAGATAACCCAAATGTAGATTAATTAATTAATTTATCTTTATTAGGGCCAAATGTAGATTTACTTTACCCCAATCAGGCGTAAACTGCACAAATTCAGATATGGGTAAATTTTTTAACCCAAATGGGGAAATATAAGTCAAATTTGCATAAAAATAAATCATTTATGGTTCATAAGAACCCATATTAGGGTATAAAAAAAATTTACCCATATGTGAGTTTATGCAATTTACGGCCAATCTCGGTAATCTCTTTGTACCGTCTGGGTAAACTGATCTTAGCGTGTAGGTAAATCCATCACTGGTTAAAAAAAAAAAATTACCCATTAATGGGTAACTAAAACCCATAAATGTATAATAATTAGAGTTTTGAAATAGCGTGTAAATGGGTGAAAAATTACCCATTAATGAGTAACGTTTACCAACTAAAGGGTAACAATAATTCAGTGCCAACATTTCAAAGGGGCGTAATTGCTTTTGTAAACAATGGCTTTAGTCGTCAATTTCTCGCGAATGAAATCTTACCTCTCCAAAATGACAATGCTAACTGGTAGAGGAAACATCTCTCTACCTGCTGGTGTCATTATTTTTCATGAGTGAGCTTTTATTCACGAGAAATCGACGGCTAAAGCCATTGTTTACAAATGCAATTACGCCCCTTTGAAATGTTGGCACTGAATTATTATTGTTACCCTTTAGTTGGTAAACGTTACTCATTAATGGATAATTTTTCACCCATTACACGCTATTTCAAAACTACCCAAATTTGGGTAGATCCACCTAGAGTCGGTGTATAATGAGTCACGCCAAGAGAAAAACAGTTGAACTCGCATCACGGTTTTCGAAAGATTCTCATTCTTTTCACTTGGCAACAGAGGACTTCTACAACAACTTCAAATGACTTCTAGTGAGAGAAAAAATATTGCGGCTGTAGTAAATCATTATATCAGTGATTTTGTCAAATTATCTTAACAAAAAATTGTAGAAATTCACATTACTAATCAAAACCGAGCGTATCCCATGACAATTTAACGCTCACTGCGTGTTTATGCTCATTTCTTTGATTATATTTGATATTGTATAGCAATACCTTTCGTGGACCTTTCATAGCATCGTAATGTGTATTTACTTTGCACGATAGGTAGCCGGTTTGACAGTTCAATAGGTAGACTTGGCTTCACTCTTGGCGTGACTCATTATACACCGACTCTAGATCCACCCAGATCGGATTAAACTGAACCTACACTCAAAAAATATTCGAGGGGTTTCTATCAACGTTAATTACCGGTCAGTGCCAGTCAGATTACCGAAAATTACTCGGATTACTTTTCAAGTAATTAAAATTACTTTATTACTTTGAAATTACTTTTATTACTCTCGATTACCGAAATTACTACGATTACTTGAATATTTTTAGGAATTACTTTGAAATTACTCAATTGATCATTTTGTCAAACTTCTGTATTCATGTTCCATCAGATGTCACAGCTGTTGTTTGCGGTGACATCTATCGGAAACTAGGCACAATCTGTTTCCCTATAATTGTTCATAGAGAACACTGCAGTGCAAACCATGTCTGGTACCTCTATATATGCATTTAGATTATTATTTGAAGTTCCTCCTTTTTTACACATTCTGCACACAAAATAGCTCATCCCTCACATAATTTCCCGCCGAATTTTATGTATGGGGCGGGGCATAAAGTATCTTTTGCGCAGAATATGTCAAAGAGGAGGGACTTCAAATGTTAAAGCAAATGCATATATAGAGGTACCAGACATGTTTTGTAGTGTCAGGTACTCTATTTTGTAATCTGTGAAAGGGAAATCACAAATCGAGTGTCAACAAAATACATGGCATGTTGAGAGATTGAGGTCGTGAGAGAGAATTTCTCTCTCAAATTTGTATTTTTTTGGCTCTCTGGGAACTGGTAGTAAAGCAGGTAAAACTGTATGGGGAAAAATTGTTTTTATTTAATTATAGCTTGTTTAACAATAATTTCCGGGAAAAAACTGAACGACAAAGTCTCTGATTAATTTCTTCAGGTCGTCGTTCACTTTTTTTCACCTGAATATGCACCGAAAGCGAATTATTCCCATTTCTCTCAATTTCTATATAGGGATTTTTATAACTTCCTACCAGCGGAACAGCGCCATCTCTGTGGAAAATGGTCGAACAAAATGATTAATTATTCAATGATTAACAATGTTTCCATATATGGAATTGTTTGAGAAATACGATGAAATCCAACCTCTATTAATAAAAATGAGCTGCACAGCAAAAAACAAAACTGGAATCATGTTAAACTTATATTTCAAACTGAGTTAAAAACGAGGTTAAAATAATGTTTCATTGAAAAATCTGAATTTGAAAGTTTTACTGTAAATACTTTATTTCAATGTAGCAAGACTTGTCTGTTGCTTTTGTTTTGATTTAGATTTTGAAATTTTCGCGCACTGGCACAAAATAATTGGCGAGATAATTCTCAAACACTTTTTCGAAGGGACGTATCAGCTATTGTAAACAATGCATTTGATCGTCGGTTTGGCGTAACTGGTAGCTCGCTCATGCATAATAACACCACTCTCAGGTAGCGAAAAATTCCCCCAATCTGATGGTAGTGTTAGGATGCGAAGGCGAGCTGCAAGTTACGCCAAATCAACGATCAAATGCATTGTTTAAAAAAGCTGATACTTCCCTTTGAAAAAGTAATCGGGAATTGGCAATCAAATCTCGATTATCGCGCTAAGGAGTGATGGCAAGGGGAGGGGGGAGGGGGTTATTATTTTGTTAGCAATACATTAGGTATAGGAAAAAGTTAACGTAAGGGGGGGAAGGGGTTAATTTTTGCTCAATTTAGCGTGACATAACGCTTAGATTTAGGTGCATCGAGGGTTGCATAATGTGGTCCCTATTTTTTTTAGATTTTCGTTTTTTTAATATCTAAATTCGATTTCCATTAACTAAAATCATAAAATTTACGTAGAATAATAAAGAATATGATAATTGCAAAGTTCAAATATTTATGGAATTACTAAAATTACTGTTTTTAATCTTTAAAATTACCAAATTATTTTCCAAGCAGTAGGAATTACTGCAATTACCCATAAATTACCAACATTTATTTTTATTACATTGAAATTACTGAGTAATTCAAAATTCACTAATTATTTTAATAATTTGTGTTAATTTTGGATTACCGGTCACCTTACAAGCTTGGTAGAAACCAGGAGACTGGCAACCCCATATCAATCCTATACGTCTGACAGTAGGCAAGATCATGGGCCTTATTTAAATACGGCCCGCCTGACGTATACATGAAGGAAAGGGACGCAAAATCGTGTTGTAAGCAGAAAGACAAGAGCAGATGAAAGCATTAAAAACATGGCCGCCAGCCAGGCCCCTGGTAGAAACCCCTCGAAAATATTGAAATCTAAATAGTATAAAAGTTACGCTAAATCGCAACTCTCCGTACCGACGCAAAGGTCGGTATAAAGGGAGAGAATGCAAACTTAGTAGAAAAATGGTTTATGCGTGCCAAAGTATAAAATCGAAATATACCTACAATGCAAACATACGGTTTATTCGAGAGAATGTATTTTTCGCTTCTTTATTTTATTTATGGTAAATATTATTGTTTTCATATATAAATTAAAATTGTGAAGCTGTTTAAATTAGTTTATTTATATGAATATTATTCAAAAAATACTTACAATCTCGATGTTCATTAGGATGAACTCATGCTCACGCAGTCTAGCTGCCCAGCAGATCACAGGCGCAGAAGAAATCCGCCGGGACGAAGCTCTTCACCAGCACGAAGCTCCGAAGGAAATCCAGATGTTCTTTTTCCTGTCATTTTAGTAAACACTGATCGAATTCCACTCCGTTATTCGGACTTAGTATAATTTTGACGAAAATTTTAATCGAACCAATGTATAAATTTTGAAAAACCAGAAAATGCATAAATTTTAATCTATATTCGTTTTGTAATACTTTTGAGTGTACCCAAAAATTGGTTAACAAACTGTGTTGGTAAATACAAGTTGACAAATGAAATACATCGACACGAATCCGATCGACGTTGTTAAAAAGGTCTAAACGATCGATTCAACCTCTGGTGGTGAATAGGAGAACGTCAAAAAGTTGGAAGGGTTGTATACTAGATACGACCGCAGGGTTGGCGTTGGCGTTGGATGGCTACATCTACAAGGTGTTGAAGCATTTTCGAACTCGTCCCGTCTGGCTCAATACAACAAACGCTCGACGATCACGTCCCGCGAAATCCAAACTGCGGTCCGTCTGCTGCTGCCGGGTGAGTTGGCCAAGCACGCTGTCTCTGAAGGAACCAAGGCCATCACCAAGTACACCAGCTCAAAGTAGATTCGTACCATCCAAACAATCAATCGGCCCTTTTCAGGGCCACAAATCGATTTCCAACGTGAAAGAGGTTTTGGTGATTTTTATTAAACTTTTAAATGTTCGAAAGC